AAATGCCTGAAGGAAGAATAATAAAATGGTGAATTAGTTTTTGTAGAATTTTGCGTTATTTCTTTTGTAAAAGGTTACGACTGACAGCTGGCATTGTCCTCAGATGGTTCGAAGAGCATGACGGAGAATTTAACTTGCTTCGTTGGCCAGCACAATCCCCAGATCTCAATCCAATTGAGAATTTGTGGGATGAAATTGAACGGGCGCTGAGACAGATGGATCCAGTACCATCAAAGTTGCGGGAATTGGCAAGTGCAGTTCCGCTAGCATGGTCTGGCATACCTTCTACCACCTACCAACATCTCATAGATTCCATGCCCAGACGAATTAAGGCGTGCAAAAGGTGGCCCAACAGCGTACTGAAGGGGTGGTCATAATAATTTGGCCACTCAGTGTATACAGGGTGATTCTAAAAAGATGGGCAAAATTTAAGGAAGTGATTGTACACACCCAAGCAAACAATTTTTATCAAAGAATGCATGGTCGAAAACAAAACGCAGAGATGCTGGCGCATTTGGAAAGTTGTTTGATGCAAATGATGCATTTAGTTCCAGCAGAACGCAGCACCAGCTCATTACGTACGAGAAGTGCGAAACTATCCGAACGCAACCTTTCCAAACCAATGGATTGGGCTAGGTGATCCTATAGCTTGGCTACCGCGCTCGTCAGATCTTTCATGTCTGAACTTCTTTTTGTGGGGACAGCTGGAAGCTCTCATGTACTAGACTCCCATTGAATCTGCAGAAGGACTTGTTGCAGAGCTTTCGGTCGCTGCAGGGAAAGTTCGTGAAATGCCTGGTGTGTTTCAGAATGTTAGTCTATCTTCGCCGTTGTACTGCGCACATAGCCGCTGCCGGCCACTGTTTTGAACACTTATTGTAATGACATGCCATTAAATTTGCTTTTATAACTTAACTTCATCGTTCTTTGTGTGTTTTTGCCTCATATAAGAACATAAACTTAGACGCCCTCTAGCGCTTTTCCGTTTTGTTTTCGACCATGCATTCTTTGATAAAAATTGTTTGCTTGGGTGTGTACTACCACTTCCTAAAATTTTGTCCATCTTTTTAGAATCACCTTGTATATAAATTAAATGCAAGAATTTTAAACAGCTGAGCAATTACGCGTAGGTAAAAACTGTCAACAGCATTAGAGTGCACAACATAAATAAACATTTTCAGTCTGGAAATAAACATTGTCTGCAATATTTATTTTCACCTTCTGAAAATTTTAAAAATTGTAATTTAATTTAAAAAATTATAAACAGCAATAACAAAAATTACAAAGTGCTGAAGTATGTGCTTCAGTAAATTATGAATAAAATTAAAATTAAAAGTATCAAAGAAATATTAGGGCACGTAGTTAATTGGTTAATTGCTCAACATTTTTAAAATGGCGCCTCATTCAATGTGTGACAGGTCTGCGAACTTTGTTAAATATGTTAATTATTTTTCTGGACAAATATGAAAAAAAATAATAATTTAATTAAGTCATATCTGATTTAATTGATTAACAAATTTTAAAAAGTATAAAAGTATAGAAGAAATTTCTTACCTTCAGAAATATATGTTATTGGCTGTAAAAGAAAAAAAATCCATCATTTGGGCTGTCATTTTAATAGGGGGAAAAAGTACATTCGGAGCTAAAAATTCGTTTATTTATTTATTTTTTTACAATTTTAATAGCCATTGTAACATTTTTATGTTACCTCAAATTATAGTGTCAAAAACATCACCCAAACATTTGCCAAAAATTTTAAATTCACTCAAACATGAACCCTTAAAAGCTTCGGACTTATGCCACTTTCCAAATGGACTTATTCCACTTTTAAAAATACGGCACATTTATTTGTAAAACAGATTTTCAGCTGTATTGCGAACAGAATAAGGGACTCAATGTAGAAAAGCTTGAAAAAACTATCCTGGAATTAAGGTAATTTATAAAAAAAAAAATAGCTGAAATGATTATTATAATTTCGTTAATGCATTTTTGTATAAAATGAAATATAGAAGTACACAAGCACGTTAAGCGTTTCAAATTAATATTTCAGGGCGAAAAGAGCAAACGTGTTATCGAAATCTGTTGAATCAATGATGAATAAGGTGGGATGAAAATATCAAAAACAGTTTATTTGCCTGGTGAAACTTCAAGTATAGTGCGGCTTTCAGGAGAACTCCTCCAGACACCCGTCTCGCGTTCTGGCAGGTACTATGGTTACGAAGAAAGGTCACTTCGAATAGGGGTGTGGGGTGAATAGTTTTGTCTTAATCTTAGCGTAGGTCATCGTGAGTAAACCAATCGACACATTCTTTCCATCATTTCATCCCCATTGGAAATGTGCTCTCGCTTGTTACCATAGCAGCAGACAGTCCCAGACTTTCAGTTTGGAGGAGTTCTCCTCAAAGCCGCACTATAATTTCTCTTAATCGCCCTTCAAATCCTCTCTGTTTCTTAGCGCAATCAAAAATAAATTTTTTTTCGTACCCCTTTCTTCTATAATGATTCTTTAGATCATGGTTGTGCTTTTTTTCATGGCTTGAATTTTAATTTGCAACTTCTAACGTGTATATTTATTTGAGTTCATTTTACCAAGCATTCTAAAAATATATGTCCCCGGGTAGTCATTACTTAACACCATGAGTGATGTATCATAATTTCTACAATTAGAACTTCCAAAATGCGAAAATTTTCTAAACGAAAATAAACTGTACTATGATTTAAAGACAATTTAAATTTACTTTATAATCTGAATACTGAAATGGCACTTTCTACAAAAGTGTCGATTTAAATTTCCTGCAAAGTTAAACTTTTGAACTCAATTTGACAACAAAAAAAAATATTAATGAATAATTAATATCGAATAAGAAATAACAACTATTTTTTGCTCTAAAACATGTAAGATGAAGACTAACATTTTTTTAATCTCTCGCTGTGGACAATTAAATCTTTTTTTTTTTTTCAAAAAAAAAAAGGTTCATTATAATCAATACTAAATTAAAGCAAAGAATACGCTTCTGAAGTAATTAGAATACTATTTTTCGACACGAAGCCAGTTATGCAAGAAAATTCTTCGCTGAAATTTAAAAAATAAATATATAATGAAAAATTCTACTGTTTTCGAAAATCGTCTCTTTAAAAATATAGTCAGAATATGTTCAATGAAAAAATATAAAAACATGATAAAAGTTTTTTGAGTCTGGTGCATATTAACAGCCTCATACATACGTAAAATCAAGTTTTTTTTCACTAAACTTTATTTAATAAAATGTGAAGGGCTAACCCACACAATATGGAAAGTATATGTAAACATTATAATTTATCATAATTATACATTAATAGCATTTTTTTTTTTTATTCTTTGAAAATCATAATAAATTGTCTCTTTTTTTTAATGTATCTTGTCTTATCAAGTTACTTGCCGAAATTGTCTTTGGCGCTTAAAAATTTTATTCGCCATTATCAAAAACTCAAAAAATAAATTTTTATAGCATTAAGTTAGGTTATTGTTTTGTGTACTTCCTGCAACTCACTATCTGATTCGAAAGAAAAAAATTCTTTTTAAACTATGTCGACCTAAACTAAAGTTAATCTAAACATATCTTATTTTTATCATGAATGAATTATGAAATATTGAAACTTTTAAAAGAAAATTAAAAAAAAAAAAAAAAAAAAAAAAAAAAAAACAAGAAAAGATCTGAAAATATTTTAGTTCACGATAAAAGTTCCGGTACCTGACAACCTTTTTTAAGCCGATTTTGACTGAAAAATTTATTTTGATGGAAAAAATCATTTATTTTGATTGTAACATTGATAATTGTGCATTTCTCGTCCTTTTCCTCGGAACTAATTGTTCTTTAATTTCCCTTCATTCTAAATACAGCATATCAAAACATTTGTGTAGAATTATTTGAAATTTTAGATGGATAGTTTCTATACATGTGACTATGGAATAGACTACGGCAGGGATGGCGAACCTTTATGCACCAGCGTGCCATTTTTTCTAAAAAATTGTTTAATGAGGTCATAGACGTGCTGACAAATAGTTTTGACTTCGTGATTATTGGGTAAGTAATAATATTAAATACTATCAACTAAAAACTCTTTTTTTACTGAAAAAAAAAGTACATTTTGCAATGTCTCAGTTATAAGCGTAATTCAACTTAAAGTGACATCAGTGTNATTTTAGTTCACGATAAAAGTTCCGGTACCTGACAACCTTTTTTAAGCCGATTTTGACTGAAAAATTTATTTTGATGGAAAAAATCATTTATTTTGATTGTAACATTGATAATTGTGCATTTCTCGTCCTTTTCCTCGGAACTAATTGTTCTTTAATTTCCCTTCATTCTAAATACAGCATATCAAAACATTTGTGTAGAATTATTTGAAATTTTAGATGGATAGTTTCTATACTTGTGACTATGGAATAGACTACGGGCTAGTTGATTGAACTATTCTTTTATATTTTACAACTAAAATAAAAATAACTAATTGTAATTTTTGGCCAATTTTTTCCAAATAAGTGTCGATATTTGCTGTGAAATATCTTAATATTAATATTATGTCTAATGTGTAATCTATTCCCTAAGTTCAGTTTTGCGAGTAAAGCAAGAATAATGAAAAAAAATTTCACAAAGCTATGAAATTTTGAAAGGGAAGCCGATTTTTGGCCTTTTTTGATAAATTTTCCTACCATATTTTCATATTTTTTTGTATTTATATCATGTTTTAGAGTACAGAACCCGCATAAGTTCAAATAAAAAATATCTAAATTAAAAATTTCAACATTTCACCCCCCAATGTATACGGTTTAATCGGAATAATAAGAATTAAAATTATTGCATGAAAGTGTATTCCACTAATTAATATGTACTCGTACTGGGACTAACTCAAGTCTTACTCAAGTCTTAAGCTGTAAGTTGCATTTTTAAGACTAAGTCTCTTTTTTCCAGTCCTTGCAGAAATATTTTCTTTCGTTCTTAGAATGCAAGTTATTGTAATTTTTTTTAAAATCTTTTCTAAAAATCTTTTGTAAAATAAGAAGTTTGGTTCATATTTTTTTGTATATCATGTTTTAGTGTACAGAACACGCATAAATCCAAATAAAAAATTTCTAAATTCAAAATTTCCCTTTAAACCAAGAAAGGAGGGCCATTTTCTCCTTTCAGGAATTTATTAGTTTTAGTATTAGGAAAAGTCTATGTTATCCTGCGTCATTAAACATTCTGGGGTGTTCTAAAGGAGAATGCTTTTCTAGTGTTTCATTTTAAAAGTAAAAAGGAAGAAAAAAGTAAGCTTGAAAAAAATATATTTCAAGAATTAAATAAACAAGAAAAATTCATAAGTGCCTACTTGGAAGAAAAATTGACTTCTTTAAAAAGTAACGCGATTTTTTTTTTACTATTTAATTTACCAATAATTAATTTTCGACTAAGCATAAACCAATATATATATATATATTTTCAGGAGAACTCCTCCAGA